AAATGAATGAAATTAGTTTTTTTATACACTATAATGACTATATGATTACTATGACCATTCACTTCACATCCTCACAAAAGCATGTTTCGAAGGGACTGTCTTGTTAGGACTATCACTCTTTTTCCGAAGGGGATTGTTCCTTCTTCCTCGGATAAAAGGTCAAAATAATATGCCCTCTCCTTTCAATTAATTAACAAGAATAACACCATGTACGAAAGGATCATCATCGTCGTCGTATTTCTCATGCTAATTAATCATTTGTAAAATAAATATCCCTTTATTTTAGTTTCTTTCGAGGAATAATAAGGGCAGACGGCCCTTCCTATCAATATGGTAAGTGCTTTGGTCAGTGGTCAGAGATCGATACCAATTATTCTCTTTAGAAGGAGAGGGGAAGAGGTATATAATTGGTTCTAAAATATTGCTTGAAAGAAGGTATCTAATATCTCTATACATAAAGTACACATCTCTTTTGTTATCTTTGAGGGGAAAAAATTATTCCCGGGTTTCACATTTATCTCTTGTTTTCTTTCTTTTCTATTAGCACTTAATTATATATTCTGTTACTCAAACCTATCCATAAGAACAGCCTCTCAACACATATGATTCGTTTAACATATTCCAAATAAATATATAGAGTATGCCCGTTCTCAACTATTTAGAGTGCGAATTAATTGGAGTTTGAGACATAATATTATACCATAGCTAATCTCTAATAGGTGAATTCCAGTTCCTAATTCTATAACCCAAGCCACAAGATTTATTTAATCTAAAAAAAATAATAACCGACAATTTTTATTAAGCTAAATATATTAAAGTGCAATAATCAAGTGTGGACACAGGCGTACAACGTACGCCAGTCGCCAGGTGTACGCTAGCCTTTGCCCTGAATATTATGATTTATAATAAATGTCAGCTCCATCGTATGTTATATGCTCATTTTAATTACTGATATGATAAAAGTTCCGTACAATATTATGTGTTAGACATCTGATTATTCTATATTTAATGAGTAAACATATCCTTGATGACTCACATGCCACGTGTGCTAACCATTTTGTATTTTTTTCCTTCAATTCAACTACCAAACCCATATGTCTATGCTAATTTGTACATTTCATTCGTCATTAGATTAGGATTAACGAAATTGAGGCTGGTTAATGGAATCAAAATAAGAAACAAATAATGAATTTTCAACATACATAAGGCAGGTAAATCATTGATGACATGTTCATTAAGCATGAGTGAGTTTGAGGCCATTATGTCCTTAATTAAATTGAAAATTGACCCCGATACATACAGCATCATGAATTACTTTCACAGTTTTAATGAATACCTCTCAAAGCTGTTATTCTGTTTAAATGTGTTCTCCAATCCCCATCTGCTACATAAGGCAAAAAGATTTAAGATAAAATATTGGAGAAGGTGGGAGACTAGCTAGCTAGGGATGATCAAGAAAGGATTTTTGCTAGTTTTCTTTAGGGCAAAGTACTAAAATAGTATCAGGTGCCTCCCTACATCCCATCAGTAGAACTCAAAACTTAGCCATCAAGCTAAGCTTAAAACCCCACATGCAAATCAAAGACAGGCTAGGCTATCTCTTTCCTTGATCAATTCAAGAACAAACCATATGATTGTTAACCACTTCTCTTAGAGTAAAAAAGAAAGAACACTGTGAATCAGTCAAACATTTTGAAAGTTCAAATCTTTGTGATGAGAAGTGTGTCTGGGAACCTCTTCATGAACTCTCAATTTGTGTTCATTTCAGAAACTATAAAAAAAAAATCACTTGAAGAGAAGGGGGAACCATGTTCTTTGCTATAGCTCTGCAATCCTTATGAACTGACAGAATTCCTTGGAGATCTAATCTTATATTTTTTGTGCATGTATATATGCCCTAGTGATTGGTTTGGTTTGTTTGATGGCCCCAACAAAGCCATGTTGGTGCATGTTGCCTGGAAGTGAATCCTTTTCTTTTGAAGCATAACTGTACTATGCAACACTTTTTCAGTTTCTTCCCCTTCTGTTCTCTCTCACTCTATATTTGCGTCCAACACTCTTTTAAAGGTCAATTACACAATTGGTTATTTAGCTTTATTTTCTAACATGCTACTTGATCATTGCTGAAGCTTGAAATTAGTCGAACTTTTCCAAGTTAGTGTGCTACCTCATCCAAGTCGATAATGAATATGTCCTTACGAGATATTAATTAGATGACACATATATGATATAACCCATTACATCGAAAACAAACCTAAAAGAATTTGACTAATCCAAAAAGCATAAGTGGAGGGTTAATGCGAAATTTGTCATTATTAACTTGAGTGAGTTAACACTCCAAATTAAATCTAGGTAATTTTGGCTAAAAAATGTTAAAACTATTCTAAACTTTAGACAACCATTTGTTACTAAACCAAAAGTATGGTGACCATTTCTGTAAAGGACCCAACTTGGTCCCTTCAAGTAGCCTACTTTTGTGTTCTTTGTTGGTTCTCTTAACAAAATTTGGAAGTCCTTTCTTCCAAGATTTGTTGTCCAGCTTTTCCTCAACATGTTCACCTCAAATTTATGCAAACAGGGTGGCAATGTCCCCCCCCCCCCCCCTTCATTTGTATGGTAAAGAGAGATTTGACCAAAACAGTGTGAAAGATCTTCTGCTTACTTGTGAATAGTGAATACACATGCATACAATTAGGCCATAAAATAAATACATTAATGGTTCAGAAACCATATATAACAACACTGGAAGAACTATCAAACAGATAACTTGAGACAATTTAATATCAATTACTGAATCTCTTTTTAATAATTTGGCTGTTGGTACCATATATCACAATTTTAAATGACATATATATTTGATTCATGCGAATTTTGACAACCTTCCAAACGAATGCATGGTTGATTTAAATATTTATGTTAAACGGCTCCCCAATTTGTCAGTCGATTTTCGTATTAAAAGACAATTATATAAAATCCATCTCCTATATTAACTCGAGTTGGGATCACGGGCCGGACACCTCGATCTGCTACTCCAAATTGCAGCAACAATACAAAAACCAGCCGCCAGCTGTCGTGGCTCAGAGCAAGATCCGGCTCGAAACCTCAACGTACTGAAATCTAATCATCCACTTCTCATTAAACGACACCTTGTTACTCCACCAATCCTTCTCTCTTGAGGCCAGGAAGGAGGGCAAACCGGTCGTCTAATAGCCATTTCTCTTTCGTTTCGTTTTGATTGCCAGTATTTCAGAATTAATAACGAATCAAGTTAGTGGTTTTGTGGGGCGTGTAAGTGCTTAATTACCTTTCTGGGGTCTCGGTGTGAAGCCCAGAGAAGGAAATGCCCGTCCGTCGCCGTCGTTCACCGCTGGCGGCCGGGAAACAGGGGTCCTCCCAGATTTCACCCCGGTCAACATATCGCAGAAAAGTCAATGTATCGTGAAAATATCGCGCTGTATTCTCGTATCGTGATATATCGTCAATTTCACTTTCTCGTCAATTTATCGCGTTTCGATTTTGGTTTTGAGAACCCGAAACGTTTCGCGTTTCAGCGTTTTTTAGATCCCGTTTCTCGCTCCGCGTGGGTTTGGCCGCACTGTTTTGCTATGGGTGGGCCATTTCGGTCTGACGGAGGGGATTTAGCGGTTTCCTTATGGGCCCTCTCGGAAAGGCATATTGGACTTTACCCGCTGAATTTCCATGGGCCTGTCGCTGATATTCCTGCGGCCCGCGTTGGCTTTCCTGGTTTAAAAAACACCGACTATAAATACGACATCTCAGAGCCCCACCACCGAAACGATCTCCCGCCTTTCCTCGATCGTCTGAAAGCCCTTAACTCTCTTAGGCCCTGTTCACTTTCATTTTCGTTTCCTGTTTTCTGTTTTCATGTGATAAATTTGGCAACCGAAATGAGAAAACTTGTTTACTTTTCATTCTGTTTTCTATTCGTTTCCAACTATGAAAACAAAAAGTGGCAACTTCCTGCTGTTTTCGGAAACGACAAAATGTTGTTTTCACCTGTTTTCAACATCTGTTTTCTCAAAAACAGGAAACAGAAATGAAAGTAAACAGGCCCTTAGATTTCGGCGCTTCAATCTTTTTCGCGAAAGGAACTCTTGGCGAAAGGAAAGCAAAGGTCGAAGAAGAAGAACTCCCGGTTTATGGTCCATTCGGATTCGGTCGTGGACTCGTGAAGCCACACTCACGCTTGAGAGTTGAGAGGGGTTATGCGCTCGTTTGCAGGAAAAGCTGAGATCTGGAATCGATCTCAATGATGTGAGGCAGGACATCGACCAGCTTGACGGGATGCTGGATGCTGTGCGTGAAGCATATATCAGCCAAGTAACTGCGATCGAAAAAGGACTCTGTTCCTACTAGATTTGCTGGTTAATCCTTTCTTTTCTAGTTTCGATTTTGGAAGGGAGGGCTTCCTTATGGATATAGTAGTTAACTAGTTAATTGATGGAAATACAGCAGAGGATTTTTACTGTGTAGTCTGATGATTAATACACTCATTTTGTTAGTATTTGCTGTGTTTACTGTTCTTAGTAGCCAAAAGACTGGAGGGCAAATGCAAGATATTCCACTCTTCTTTTTGATGGCGGATAATCAGGGGAAGCAAATGTTGAAATCAAAAGATCATGTCAAATGGAAGTTTCCAATTGATCAAAAATCATTCATCGACAACTAAAACAATGTTGACCAAGTAAAGACTATCTACAGCATTTGCATGATTTCAGTGAAGCCCTAACAACATTCTACTTCTACTTGCTGAAATACATGTCACTGTCGATGATTGTGCATCCTCGAATGAGGAACTGACTGCTGTTTCAATGTACCACCTGGCATGAGGATGCAATAACTCAAGTTAGATTCAGTAAAAGGTTTAGCAAACTGGAGCTTGGAACGTTGTGAAGTTTTTATGGATGGATAAAGCTTGAAGATGGTGGCCGATGAACAGCATACCTAGTTAGGTCGGATGCCTTACGCATAAGGCAGTTTCAGTGAGCACTACTACGGTTGAGCAATCCTTGAAATGATAAGAAGAGATCTTTATTCTCTGTCCCAAAGATCTCTTCAGCTTTCCTCAAAGTTTCCTAGAAGATAGAAGAGCATCTAGATAAGCAAAGAACCCCAAACACTGTAACAATGACCAAGATGCCCTTCAAGCCAATAATAGCTTACCTCCCGGGTTTGCTTCTGGGCATTTAGTTCCTTAATGTTAGCCAGAAACGCACTGAATTGCTCATATGACAGGCGACTCCTGAATTAGCATTATACATGTGAGTGATAAGATCTGAAGTACAAGTTCTGTTAACCATAAGTTTTTATATGAAAGCCCATGTGGGACCAGTTGAACTCACCTGGCCTGACGAAAGAACTCCTTTCCATCAATTCGTGGAGTCCGTGCTACAGAGATTTCAAGAATACAATGGTTAACGTTAAGAGGTGGAATTATATAACAATCTTTATCAGATTTGCGCCTGAAAGTACTGATGTAAGGATAGATCAATAGTATCACTTATGACTTCCACTGAAAGTTGCAGTCACAAACCTGGCATTGAGCGTCCCCGAGGAGGGGAGTTTGCTGCCGAAGACTGTTGACTGGATGGATACCATGGAGAAAAGCTAGTTTGTTGTCCCTCATATTGGGATTTCGTCGGAGATGTCAGAGCAGAGGCTCTCCGAGGTGACACAGCAGTAGAATAACTCCTAGGGGACACACTTGTAGATGTAACTTTTGGGGTTGCAGTTGGAGTAAGCCGTGGTGTGATGTACGGGGTTATGGAGAATCTTTGTCCAGCAGACTTTGCAGCTGTTAGATCAGCATAAGAGTCATGAAGTGAACTCAAACTTTAGCTTACACTAACGTAAACTCCACTTTTCTAAGATAACTGGGGACACCAATTTAGCTTTTGTGATTCAGTTAAAGAGGGTAACAAACGTTAGGTGCCCTGGGAAATCGGTCTGTTTGACTGAGAGCATGTTTTCCAGAAGTTAAAATTCAGATTCCAGATACTATTTGACTACAGCTTTCCGATATGAAAGTACGGATGAAATAGAGAGGAAACGTTGGTACATTATTCATCCCAAGAGAAGTCTACTCTAGAGCTAGCCACTCCACTTAAAGATCTTATTTTCATAAATTGATATAAAGACCATCAATCGTCTAGAAGAGTACACAGCCATGAGCAGTTGAATACCTTGATCAGCTGTACTCATGTTGGTAGAGCCATTGTAAGAATTGTCGCTGGCAAATCCATTTGACACTTCATCTGCCAAGAAAGAAGCGGGATGGCAACAGAAAATAAGCAGACATATACACATCAAAGTTGATCTGATTGAAAAAGATATGGAGCAGTAATATGATCAGCCAACGGGAAATTCCAGCAGCACCAGAAGCTGTTCGACACACTACCTTTATCAGGATATGCCTTTGGTGCATGTTGATCATATGCTCTAATATCAACAGTTTGTGTTGGCTGCAAACATAGAAACAGAAGACAATTACTCAATAAAATCACAGCAAAAGAAGATTAGAAATTAAATAAGAAAAAAAACTATAAATAACAAGTGAACAACACATCTTACCGACGGACTGTCATCACTAAGTGACTGCATCAACTGCTTCTTGAAGTTCTCCAACTGCAATCAAACAAGTTACCTTAGTCATTTCTCTAAGCATACACGGAGAACCCTGAACCGATGACAAGTCATTTCTCAAACCAAACACACCATCCGACACTAAATATGCAGATATCTATGTACAAGAACTCTAAGCAAGTGAATATAGGCAACCTGAGCCATCAAACATGCTTAATGACAACCTAATTCACAGCAACTACAGAGTAAGCAAGAAACTCAATTGCATTTCTGAGTAATGGCGATGCAGCATACCTTTGCCAAATCACGGCCAAGCTTCTTCACGTTGGCAGCCAACGAATCCCTTTCCTTAGCAAGTTTAATCTTCATCATGAAAACAGCAGTAAAAGAACCAAGTAAGTGCTAATTTCCAGAAATCAACCTCAATATCCGAAATTTCGCAGAAACCCTAACACCCACTGATCAAATTGCAGACTCAAATGTTCTTTCTTCTCTATATGATATGAAAAATCGAAAAGAGAAGAGTTCCCCTCTACTTACATTCTCGTCAAGGGTGATCTTCAGCCTCGACTCTGCCTCCCGGTACGCCCGCTGCATTCGAGACGCTTTCTCTTCGAGCTCGTAAGCAATTCGATCCTTCTCGTACATCTTCTGCTTCATCCTTCCCACCTCCGCTTCCAGGTTCGACACGCGGGAAGCGATTGCCATGGAAGTGATCTTTCGCGCCAGATCCAACTGGTCGTAAGGGTCGGCCGGTATAACAGCCAGAATATTGTCCGGCAAGTCGAAGTCCGGGCCCCCGCCGCCGCCGGCGATAACTATGCTGCCTTCTCCGCTGCCTTGTACACTTCCCAGCTGCGACATGGCTGAATATTCCTTTTCGGCCTCGGAAAATCCGGAGAATTTCCCTGTAGAAATCGGACGCTCTTCCTAAGGGTTTTTGGTTTAGGAAGCTCTTCCTAAACGAGAGAGAGAGAGAGAGAGAGAGAGAGAGAGAGGGAATGGCCTCTGGTTGCCCTGTGAGAGTCTCTGAGACAGTGCTGGCTGGTGACGTGCTGGAAAAATTGCCCAATTGACTGACTACCATGTTTTATTTCCATTTTCCCACCTAATTTTTATTCTCCCTATTTTACTCATAATTATATATTAATAATTTGATTACATGCTTCAATCAAATTATTGTATAAATTTTACTTTTTACTACCATTTTTTCACAATTACATGCTCTTGTTATTTCGAATTCGAGCTTTGATTAGCTATTATTTGATTTATCTATTATTTAATGTAAGGTTTATCAACATAATATTGTATGCAAATGAAAAAAATTGTAAAACTACAAGACATAATTGGGAATGGGTAATTAATTATATTGTTGATGATTGGCTTAACGAATATATAAGAAGGTGTGAGTTGTTTCTTTGCTTGATTATTGACTTGTTTTTTTTTTGTTTTTTTTTATTTGATTATTGACTTGTTTAATGACATGAAAGTTTGTTTTATTAGAGTTGGGTTAGTAGGAAAAGAGAGGGAATATTATATGTTTGGTGGGGACTGCGTACGAAATTTTGAAATTTTTGGAGGACTTTTCCCTCCAGATGGTTGCGGGTGGACCGAGACGCAATTATGGGCCTCTAAAGCTAGTGGATCATGTATTGTTGGCCTTTAAATCTGTTTACCGCCATATAATTTGGGCCCTAGTCCACCGGCCCAATTATTCTCCTTCGCGCTCCTGCATTTCCGTTCGTTCCCGAAGAGTATCCAATCGCTGTCCAAAACTCCATCGGCGTTCCTTCGTTTCCCCGGGATCGCTCATTGCCATAGTCGGCTTAGCATCTTGCTTCGTTCATTACAACTAGCCGGCTGCGTTCCTGGACCGAATTTCCGCCGTCGGGAGACATAGAGAGGAAGCAGAAGAAGATAGTGAGATGTCGGTGTTGATAGTGACGAGCTTAGGGGATTTGGTGGTCGACTTGTTCACCAACGAGTGCCCTCTCACCTGCAAGAACTTCTTGAAGCTCTGCAAGTAATGCTTATGATTCCGTACCTTCTTTGTTTGCTTTGTTTGCTTTTTCATGCGGATGAGTAATTGCGCTAGACAGCTGTGTTTTTTCTAGGTGAATAATGGATGGTGATTCTCGTTTGAATTTGAATTAGGGTTTTTTTTTCTTCATCAGCTGAGAGTATGTATTCATCTTGCTGACCGTGTGCATTGTTTTTGGTTTGTTTGGTTGAACTGATAAAGGATGAAGTATTTCAATGGGTGCCTGTTCCACACGATTCAGAAGGATTTTACTGCACAGACTGGCGATCCTACCGGCACAGGAGCTGGTGGTGACTCAGTCTACAAGTAAGAATCGATTGATAACGGGATTATATAAACTTGAATGTGTTGGAAAATGCCGTTGGGAGTGTACTAGTAGTTTGGCTGTTTTCCTAGCTAAGCACTCTCATTACTAAAGTTGCACTCTGCTCGATTTCCAGATTTCTTTATGGAGACCAAGCCCGCTTCTTCAACGATGAAATTCATCCTAATCTGAAACATACAAAGATGGGAACTTTTGCGATGGCTAGTGCTGGAGAAAATATGAATGCTTCACAGGTTTGATGTTCTCTTGCTTAGTAAATAGCCACTGTGACGTGATATTGGAGGGTTCTAATGTGTTGTACTTTTGTTTGTTTTCAGTTCTACATCACGTTACGTGACGACCTGGACTATCTGGACGGGAAGCATACTGTAAGTATCTTGCACTACTTCTCTCCCTTGGGATAATTCTGTTACTATTCAACAGTATTAGGGAGTTCTATGGTATAACTTCTTGCAAACACAAGTTGATTACGTTTCATGTTCAATTGTTTGAAAACTAGCTGATAGGGTTGCCTTGGATTAGGAAGCTCATAATCCTTGTATTGTGTCGATAAGCTGTGATTCTTCCTCATAGTTTAAGTGGGTTTCTTAAAAACATGGTTGTAATGCAACTATATTTCTGTTGATTTAGGTTTTTGGAGAGGTAGCAGAAGGACTGGAAACTACTTTGACTAGAATCAACGAAGCTTATGTAGATGAAAAGAACAGGCCATATAAAGATATAAGGTTCGATATCCTTACTTTATGAGCTCCAATCTATGGACACATATCAAGATATTATTACTTCATGCAGACAATCTTCATATGATTGCTAATAAGTTATTTTGAGTTTCAACAGGATAAAGCACACATATATACTTGAGGATCCTTTTGAAGATCCCAATGAGTTACCTGGGTTGATCCCTGATGCTTCCCCAGAAGGAAAGCCAAAGGAAGAGGTATTAATGATCTAAGTTATTTTATATGTTATGCATAAATGTATACACGGTTTTTTATCTCAAGAATTTAAAACGCTTATTTTAGACATAGTTGAGGAATGGTATCACTTAATTTAAAACCAATCAGACTTTCTCCCTACGGATTTTTTTTCTTGAAGTAACATATCTGGTATTAATTCTTTATTCTTATTATGTCTATATGTTTTTCAGGCTCTTGGCGTCGTTCGGCTTGAAGATGATTGGGTTCCCTTGGATGAGCAATTACGTCCAGAAGAACTTGAAGAGATTATTAGGGAAAAGGATGCACATTCTAGAGCTGTTGTGCTCGAGAGTGTAAGTATCTATTTTTGTATGTTGATCATATTAATGATTTAATGTTCTGCCTATAGGGATTGAGCCTTTTTTGCTTCTTTTCTATGTAGATTGGGGACATCCCTGATGCTGAAGTAAAGCCTCCTGAGAATGTATTGTTTGTGTGCAAACTGAATCCTGTCACTGAAGTAGGTTGCATAACTTTTACCTCCAGTAGTTCATATCAGGACCAAATCATTTATCTCTTTTCTTCAGGAAGTTCACTAATATATGATTTGAAATGCAGGATGAGGACTTGCATACAATTTTTTCACGTTTTGGGAATGTGGTATCGTAAGTAATCAAATATAATCCTTCTACACAAATTGATCTATCTATAATGTTAACAAGTCTATTTACTGAAAACAGTTTGCATCCTGTGTGATTGGTTACAGGGCTGATATAATTCGCGAGTTCAAAACTGGAAACAGCTTGTGCTATGCATTTATAGGTATGTAGCTTCCATTCTTCTCAAATTTCATAGCAGAACAGCTAATAAGTCTCCTATTGTCTCCAATGTGTTATACTCTTAAGTTATAAACCTTCTTTTTATCCTCACAACTGCCTGTCCTTATTCCTCCTCCCATCTCAATTTTTATTCAGATTTTGAGACTAGAGAAGCATGTGAACGAGCATATTTTAAGGTATGGTGAAGGCTAATAAACTACCGTTTCGATTCATTCCACTCATTCCTAACAATGTGAGTCGAATACAATGATCGGAACTTTGTTGTATACCGTAGATGGACAACGCTTTGATAGATGACAGAAGGATAAAAGTTGATTTCAGCCAAAGTGTTGCAAGACTATGGGGTCAGTACCGGCGCAGAGGCAAAGATTCAGGTAAGATAAGCAAAGACCTTCTGATAAGTGCATGTAGACATATAAATTATGCCATTATCATATGCATAATCCATGGGATGGGTGTGGACCATGTCCAGTTTTGGACTTGAGATGGAATTGGAAACACCCATCAACTAGAACCCTAAAAGAACCATAATCCGTAAACAACATAGAGGAAGAATGAAATGAATGTCTTATTGAGGCAATTTTATTTGTTTCGGTAGATATGCTTTTCAAGAACTTGAACCCACTTGGATTACATCTAGACAATTAGAAGGGACTTGGCATTATTTGATTCAGTTTTGATTCGCAAATCCATGAGTTTTGATAAGTGCATGTCGAGGTTTACAAATTATGCCATTATCATGTCGGTGTGGACCAAATTGGAGAGGAGTTGGGATAATTTGATTCAGTTTTGATACCAGTCTTGGGCTTTGATCCCATGGGCTGACTAAATCAAAATTGGAAAAGACAACTACCTTGTTATTTGATTGCCTACCCTCACTTAAAAGAATTCCAATTGAATGTGTTTTTGCCTGATTCTGGTTCCCTTCTTTCCTTTATTCTCGATTTGATCCTGTGCCAGTTCTGGACCGGACTGGTCCTACGTTGCCTAGGAGGCATGGCCGAATTTGAACTTCTGTTTCTTGATTTTCAGTATTCTATTCTTACTTTCTGATTATTCTAATGTCTCGAGCGCAGGTGGAGGTTGCTTCAAGTGTGGTGCTGTCGATCACCTTGCAAGGGACTGTACTGATGGTCTTGGTTCTAAAAGTCAGGGTCCAAAGTACATCCTGAAGGATGATAACACACAACGTGGTAGTGATAATTCCAGGTTCGTCATTATCTCTCTTTCTATATAGCCCCTTGTTATCTCTACGTGGCATTTGAATCCGACTAATATCTGATGAACAATTATAGGTATGACATGGTGTTTGATGGGGAAGCTCCTGGGAGCCCAATACAAGAAAAGAGTCGCAGAAGCCAGGGGGAACAAGATGAACAACTTGACAAGGAAAGGAGGAGGCATAGAAGAATCTCAGATGACCGAGATGAAGAGATCAAGGATTTGTCAAAGGGTAAGATACGTCAAAATGACAGAAGGCGTGTCGATGAAGATGATGATAGTGATAGACGGCGTGACAGCAAAGCAACTCGGTATCAACATGAAAGCAGAATCAAAGACCACGGTGGTGATAGGGGAGATGGTAAAAAGACTAGCACTGCTCATCACGGTCGCAGAGAAAGAATAGAGAGCGACAGAGACAAAGATCATTACAAGAGGAGGAGTGGGGAAGGCGATTACTGGAGAAGAAGCGACGAAGGCAAGGATAGAATTCACCTGAAAGAGTTGGATGATGACAGTAAAGAGCGTAAACGAAGACACGGAGAGAGTGACAGGCAAGAAACGAGGGACAGAGAAGAGCGAGATGAGGGTAGAGAACACAAGAGAAGAGACCCAGCTGGTGACCACAGGCGAGAATCCAGGGACAGAGAACGGGAATATAGGCACAAGAGTGACATAAGGAGATGAATCATCAGGATCACATGTTTAGCTTTCGCTTTCTTCATGGTTTCAAGCCTGCACTATATTGGGATATGTAGTTTATAGCCTGAACACATCAATGCTTTTTGGAAGGATGCCATCTATTGATGGTTCCCCGGTTCCATAATACTAGACAGGAAGGAGTATGAGAGTGTTTTGTTTGTATTGTTTCATCTGCTTTAATTATATCAGGAGACTGCTACTGTGAACAAACTATCAGCCTATTTCTCTCTTCATTGGGTAACATGCCGGGGCAGATTCAATCGCCAAAATGTACACATTCAAAGGAACCATTTGGATGGGAAATTTGGTAGTGAGAAACATGGTCTACCTTAAAAATGTGGACACACCATCCTTTTCACTTTTGCAAACGACACCGAGTATGAACAAGAGAATGAACACAGCCTATAAGAAACAGTTATTTACAGCCTTGTAATCTTGCAACGTATAAAGCGATTCTACTCTGGTATCCTTTGCCACGTTGTTGGAACTGAAACATTCAGCTGAGGTAATGCATATGCATTGATCATGATATGGAACTCGTTCTCATCAATGTCCCAGCAATGGTTCATTCAGCATCTAACTTTCTTCATTACTGCCACCTCGAAAGAAGCCCTTCGTCTTCTCTCAGCTGTCAAAGTTCATGATTCGCCATAAGTTGTGCCTCTGATGTTTACCCAACGCAAGCATTCAGCGGTTGCACGTCTCATATCCGTGTTTCTTTGCCTATGGATGTGCATTTTCTTGTTGTTTGTTTCACTTTACAGGTTGTACGCCAACAGTTCTGACACGGAATCTGTACTGTGGCCGAGGCTCCTCTTCATCATTATCTTCGTCGTCATCATCTTCATCGCTTGAGTCGTCTTCGACGACTCTATCCCAACGTGCATAATCCAACGCCGAGTGTCCCTTTGGTTTCGGAATCGCCTGCCAACCATTGGACTGTTGCTCGGGTGATGCTTTACCAGTCCTCCGTGCCTGTGCAATAACTTCAGCTGCAATGGTTCTCTTCGGCTCAGTCTTCTTCTGTGCTTGTGCCATAACTTCAGCCGTGATGCTTTTCCTTGGCTCGGATTTCTGATCATCTCTGCCTCCATCGGAAGACTTCTGCATGCCTTCTTCCATATATACAGTTGTCCGATCTTGTTCAAGCATACTGTTTTGCACTATGCCAACATCTTGGTCTTCAACTTCTTCATCTTCTTCTCCCTCTTCTGAGTCATCATATTTCTCATCCTCTTCTTCTTCCTCCAACTCGGCTTCGGACTCTGGTATTGGAGCTAGGGACTTCCTTAACCAAAAGAACAACAATTTCAGCAATCACCATAAATAAATAAAAAACGTTTAGGAGCTCTCAATTTGAATTGAGCAACTAACAAACGAGACAAGACAAGACAGTCATCCACAAACTACAAAGTTGCTGATCAGTATCAGAATCCCAACTGAAGCACTGCGGCAGGATCAAATAACCTAGCCAAACTCGGGTTTCGACAGCTACTAAAGTTCATCGAAACAGACCCATACATGATCAAAGAAAGCATAGATCCTTGTCAACAATATCAAAGAAAGCAGATTACTTTACCAGCATTTCGCATACAATGCAAGCCTAAATTAAATACAGGCAATTGAGTACTTTCTGGACGTATTGAAACCATTTTAAAAGACAGTGCTAGATTGCATCAACCGAAGAAGGGAAATGACAAGCAACGCAAAGCACACATCCAAAGGGGGCTAAAAGGTGTCAATTACCAATTGAGTCCTCAATCGAGTTTCCAGGTTCTGGTAAACTTCCGAAGATGGATTCAACTCCATCAGCCGATTGACATCGAACAAGGCCGAGTGATAGTCTTTCAGCGTCACCAACGTCTGCGCCCGCAGCATCAAAGCTCCGGTGTGGTCGTAATCCAGCTCCAGCACGGAAGTACACTCTTCAGCTGCCTGTAACACAACGAAGTCGCAAAGTTCGCAATATCAGTAATCGAATTCCCCCAAACCAAACATACCTTCTCGAGAACAACAAACAATCAGATTAAGAAAAAAGCAAGGATTTTTTACTTCGTACCTTCTTGAAATCGTGCAACTTGAGGTAGCAAGCAGCTCGGTTGCTATGGAGGGCAATCCTCTGCGGCTTAGTCTTGGCGGCGGCGAGCGCTTCCGTGTAGAATCCTAGCGCGGCGGCGTGCTTCCCCTCTCTGTAGAGCTGGTGCGCCGCCTCGATCTTGCTCGCCGGCGACTGGGGAGACGACGTCATGACTCGGAATGTCCGACGGGGAACAACAATGGATTCGTCTCTCTCCGTCTCTCTCTCTCTCTCTCTCTCTCTCTGGGCTTCCAATCTGAAACTCTCTGTAAATAATAATAGAGCAATAATGGCTGACAGAGCAATTATAGGCGCCTGACGATGGATCAAAACAATACAACCCTGGTAATTCGCCTCAGTGCGTTTCCGTCTTTCCTATTTGGATTGTCCAATTTGTAGGCAAGATGGGAATTTTCATTGGAATTGTCTCTGAAATGAAACGACTTGCCTTGTGCGCGTCGTTTCCCAATTTTTAAAGGTTTGAACTTTCAAATGTTTAAGGGATACACACAAAGTTAAGCTGATAAATCAGTTTTCTAAGAGTTGATTAGTGATAAACAGGCGTTTATTATACAAATCTTTTGGGTTAAAGTCGCAATCTTTCTGAAGCTCGCGTGTGAAACATTTTGAAAACAAGCAGAAAAGATGGTTCGTGGATTAATTGGGTCTATCAGGGCCCAACAGAAGGCACATGAAGACAGATTATTTGTACTTTGAGAAGCTTACTTGTTTGATTTTGCCTCAATTATTACCACTAAAACCGGCCGACAAGAGATTATGCACCTCTATTAGCTGTCCAAGCAAGTCTAATGTCGGATCTGATATAAGATCGGATGGAAGAAGAGCCTACACATCACTACATCAGTGTGTCGGTCTAGTGCAGTGTCGTAGTCTTGTTTTGCCCTGTTTCTGATGAAGAAAAAACAAAAATCACGAACAAGTTCTGTTTATAGATCTAGCCAAGTTGTCCTGTCGAAGCTAACAAACCAAGCACGACTGCACGAGGGAAACGAAGTACCGCTCTAGGCTTCTCATCTTAAAGCCAACCGAAGTAACGAGGATTCGAATAGACTATAGAGTATAGACCAATTCATCTCTATTCTAAACAAAGCTTATCATAACTCCAAATTTAGATTTAACACAAATTACAATAATACTTCCCAAAGACCTTAAACCAGATCCCACCACCAAAGTAAATATAAAATTAGAACAACATTAGTCAATTTGCATCCATGCTACTTAGTAATCATGTCCATCAAGACTCAAGAGCCAGCAAAGCATTTGCCAATATCTCAGCAGCCTGGCTTAGTTCCTCCTGAGTGATAACCAATGGAGGCACGAGCCTGACCACATTGCCCTTGCCAGCAGTCAGCACCAGGAGCCCCGAGTTTCGACATGCATCAACCACCGGCGAAGCTGATACATCGAGTTCTATTCCGATGATGAGCCCGAGCCCTCGAATTTCCTTGACGTGGGAGTTTGAGCCAAGCTTCTGGGATAAGAGGTTCTTGAAGAACTGTCCTTTCTCGGAGACACTGGATAAGAAGCCGGGTTTCGAGATTTTGTCCAGGACGGAAATGGCAGCGCTGCAGACGAGAGGTCCCCCGGCGAATGTGCTCCCGTGGTCACCGTAGTTGATAGCTGAGGCGACTCGTTCGGTTAGCAGGACAGCTCCGATGGGCAGTCCACCGGCCAGTGGTTTGGCGAGGGTCATTATGTCTGGGAAGATACCGTATGGTTCGTGCGCCCAGAGCTGACCAGTCCTACCTAAACCACATTGCACCTGCAGAAAGCATGAACAAAGGAGTGTAAGAATTCATCATGAAGCCACTCACATAAAGTCATAGTTCTAATCGTCAACCACGATTCCTTTATTCATCATCATTCATATTTGCCTATTTCATCGTTGGGATGCTTGAGAAAAGCTTGGCAGTACTTGCAAGCAGATTAGCCAATTAAATTAGCCAGAAAAACAGGATCAAAATCTCAATAGTGATGTAATCTAAATCTTTTACAATTGAGAAGTTAGTAGATGTATTTCTATATGTGCGGTCTAGTAGCGAAGAACATAATGGGATATCCAGCTGGAATCAAACCCAAGTTCTTAATGAAATCCAGCTTTTACGCCTTTATCTAATTGGTGACGTATTAAACGATACCAGTGCCTTATTACCTCATCGAAGACCAGAAGAGATCCAGCTTCATCACAAGCGTCACGTAGAAACTGCAGGAACTCCTTCCTCGCGCTGTATATCCCTCCTTCACCTTGGACCGGCTCAACAAAAACCGCAGCAGTCTTGCCTCGTTGTATCAACTTCTTCGAGGCTTCTATATCTCCAAACTCCACAAAGTTAACACCAGGCATGACAGGTTCAAAGGGGGTTCTATACTGTTCCTTGCTCGTCAGAGCAAGTGAACCCATCGTCCTGCCGTGGAAACTATGACTGAAAGAGACGAATTCAGTCGCTGGCTCTTTGGCATCAGGGTTTGAGTGCCTCTGGAACTTCCTTGCAAACTTAATCGCAGCCTCATTGGCTTCAGTCCCAGAGTTTGAGAAGAACACCCGATCAGCAAATGAACTAGCCACTAGACGCTTGGCTAGCTCAACCTGCCATAATGACATGCAACTATAAGCTGTCTTAAGTAGATTGAAATCATAAATTCCGAAACTTTCCCAGCAAACAAACACCCCACGAGGATACTAAGCTGTTCAGCCAAGACAGAAATCATAAATTTTGAAACCTCCTCAACAAACAAACACTCCATAAACTGTTTCAACTAGACAAGGATAAACATTGAGGGGGGAAAATGAAGAATTGAATTGAAGCAAAAACCTGAGGGACAGAGTAGTAGACATTGCTGACATGAGTCAACAGATTAGCCTGCTCAATCACAGCCTTAAGCCAGTCGGAGTCGCAGTGTCCCAAAGCATTCACTGCAATCCCCGATGTCAAATCCAAGTACTCCCGCCCTTCCACATCGTACAATTTACACCCTTTGCCACTGGCGAGCACCAGGGGAGCTCTGGCGTAAGTTCCCACAATCAATTTCGCTTCCGCCTCCATTATCTCCTTGCTTCCATTACCCTCCATTTTTTTAGCGGCAATCTCCGGCGAAGGCTTGACGTCCACGTTGACACACGAGACGATTGCTGTTTTTTTCCCTTGGAATCTGATTCCTCGAGACGGTAACCGCTCTGGATTGAATGCCAATCGGCGGGGATTGAAGGCCTGAGACACCGCGACGCCGGAAGCCATCTGGAGGGAACTCATCTTGCTCCAATGAGAACTCAAAAATCTGGGCAAGAAGCCAAGAATGGAGAAGCTTGAGACTCCTCCTTCGAACGAAACTTTCAGAGCTAGCGATGGAAGGGATTCTGGCGGCCGGTGATGGACGATGAGTTGCCGCTGCTTCTGCTTTCTCCCGCCGCCGCCGCCAACTGAATGTGAAGTAGTTGGCGACTTGGCGTGTAATATATTGGGATTAACTGTTTAGGAAAGTTAGTGGCCAACCAAACGGGCTTTCTTTGGGCTTTATTTTGGGCCTTTTGAGATGTGGCCTTTGGGGAATTGGACCCTATGTAAACCCACGTGAATTACGAATGGTTTCTAGCGGCCCGCGAGCTGGTTTTTGGTGTTGCCGAAGGGTTACATGCAAAATTGACGTGAGAGGTCAGAAATCAGAAGGCCAAACCATGTATTCAATTTCCATAATGGTAAATACGTAATTGTACTCTTCACAGAATTACCGTACCACAATCAAAATCCGACGAAAAAATTAGAGCACATCACCGAAAGTTAATCTTATTTTTTACCGTTCCATGAAAGTTAATTATACAATTGTGACACAACCACATTGAAGCTAATTCGTCTTTTTCACCTATCTCACCAGTAAAATCATCCACGGACCACAGTAATTAACTATAATGACGCTAACCATAACGGTTAAAAAAGCTACCAAGAACGATGATTAATTATTTGTAATTTGTTTATATTTGAATTCAATCTTTCACAAAATGAATATGGGTATCGAGATTTTTTCTTGACCTACCTCATTTTCATTCCTAATCGTGACCACATCTTAATAAGGCTTCACTTTATTTAATCTCCCCTGAAATTACATATCGTAGTAAGCAGAGAATTATAACCATGCCTAGGCCAAGCTATCATCACATAATCTGCTTCTTGTCACATAAACATAGTTATTTACTCACATTATAGCAAATTAGCAATTACCATTTCTATAGTACGTTAATTCTACTAATTCGGTCATCACTAGCTACCAGCTCTCAGGCTGGCGTGCCAAAGATCTGCGAGAATGCCTCGGAGAGTGCGACGTTAGCCGCGACTTCATCGAGCAGAGACGGAGCAAAAAGTTGAGACACGCGGCCGCGAGACTTCGCCAGGAACAAGCAAGCGTCCTGATACTTCAGAGCTCCCTGAACGACGCCGTTGGCTCCCTGGTAATCCCCTTTTGCCAAGAACCCGACGGCATCAGGCAGCTCCAGAGCCATCCCATCGATTGCCACGTTGCACACCAGAAAAACCGTTACCCCCACTTTGTCGCGTTTTGCCAAGAATCCCTGCCCCAGCGGCGACATAGCAGCTAGCAGAGACTTGGACCGGGCCACGACGCAGCTGACCAGGACGGCAGCGAGCCCGGCCCGGTCGGCGGCCCGGGAATCAGGGTCGGGCTCGAGGCACTGGAGGCAGGCCGTCGGGGCCGTCGTGCGGTTACACTCTTGCTGGATCAGCGGGTTCGGGTTCGGGTTCTTAGGCTGGGCGTAAGCCAGGGAGAAGAGCAGGAAGCAGAGGATTGTGAAGAGATGGGAAGCCATTTTCCGTATTGGGTTTGGATTTGGAGGGTCTTGTTGTTTGACGAGGTTTGGGGTGGCGTTGGACTTGGATATATATATAAATGGGCCTAAGGAATAAGTAAGGTGAACTAAATTAGATTTGCCTACCCAATTAATTATATGATTGTTCTAATTAGGGAATAATTAAGGCCGAGGATTAGTGTTTAACTGTTTACTGTTAAGACTAATTAATCTAAGGTGCAAACCACCATAGTGTCCTATCTAATTAACTCATATATAGGGCAATTGAGTCTGACATTAGTGCTTGCCTTGCCCATAACTAGACTAGGATAGCCTGCTTATTAATATAATTCTGCGTCCCATGGTTTGGTTGATGCTACATTGCTCGTTTGTTGGAGATGCTTCGGTGAATGAAAAATAGTATAAGTTGTTTGTATGTATTTCAGCTTAGAAAATGTAGGAAGTGCAACCCATTTCGTATCGGGAAAGTTATAGCGAGGAAGTCTTTCCATTCTAGTCGGAGCCATTTTTAAAAAAATTCATTATCTCTTCTCCTTTGTGCCGGTTTCATGTCATTTGTTTTTTCAAATTTTAACAAAGCTATTTATCTTGGGAAAGAACAATTTCTTTCATCAAATGTCGGTTTCCTATCATTTTGTTTTCTTCGAATTTTAACAGAGTTATCAATCTTGTGAAAAGAACAATTCCTTTCATCAGAATTCCGAGTGTAAACGAATTACCGCTCTTGTTTATGGAAAGGGAGGGAGGGCACCAGCAAAGGATTTCATAAAAGGGGAATCCGAGAGGTCCCGCAAGGATAAGGACATGGAAATGGACATCTCTGTACTGTACCTTCAGCTCTTAATTAACTCACATCACATGTGCTGAATTTTGTTGGCCAGACAAATTTCAGAGGCTTTTAATGAAAATCTCATTACTTGGTTGCGTCTTGCCTGCTGGTAGATGAAAGAAATTGTACACACGTAAATGGAATTTCTTCCAGTGTAGTACTGTTGATTTGGAGTGATGTAGGGAAGAATAGTACATGTGTAATATATATGTTATGTGGCACATTCCAATCCTATCAAAGCATTATCACTAAAGAAGGGAAAGCACACTGAAAAAAAAACAAAAAACGGTTAGCTAGTGAGAGTTCGAGAGGGCAATGAATGCAGTCCAGTCCTCCTGCCTGGTGATGGTGAGGTCCTACTGTCATAATGCCACTGCTCTAGCTCTTCCTTCCAACAAATGAAACTGTTTTGTGTCTCACCCTCCTTGGTTTATATAGTTAATTAGATGCATGGTAGAAATGGTAGCTAGGAGTTGGTGGGCGGTGATAGAGAAATTAGCTAGCATAATCCCACATGAAATTGATCAAAACTTAAATTCAGCCAATAATGAGGAGATGAGAAGCCTAACATATAGAAGCAGAAAGTCAGGGGAAGGAAGAAGAAAGACGATAGAGATGAAATGCATGCAAGTAGAAGAAGAGAAGAGAAGAGAAGAGAAGAAATAAAGAAATAATCTTTCTTGGGTTGGGTGTCTGTGGCCAATACCTCATTGCATTTGTCACCCACCCACCCACCCACCCAATCGAACACCAATATAATACAATACCCCACGTATAGTATAGGTATAACAAACACACGTATACATCCATCCTTAACCTTAAAACTTGTACACATTCACATCATACTAATATACTATAATACTCTACACCTTTAGTACGTATTTGTATATTATATGGTTATAAGCTGCCCCTTAGCCATTAATGACCCGATTTCGACTCATCTCCCTTTCCCCAAGTAATTCATGTCCACAAATAATTAAGTTTTTGTCAAATCTCTATTATTCAGATTGTGATTTGATACCTAACAACGTGTTAGATGATGATATACATCTTATATTTCCTCTCAAAACAGATGGACTTCTTTTCCGAGATTTGTAGATTGATATATGATCATAAGTACAAAAGGTAGCGAATAAGATTAAACTTCCTCTCACTTTGTTCGAGCTACTTCGGGTAGATGGGGCGCTTTCAAAACCCCTTGATTAAGAGATTGAGGGGCCTCCGATCATCTCTCGTGTGCAACGGCTAAGAACCTTACTCACTAATATACAAATTTTGACCTTCCAATCTCAGTTGTCAAGAAATTTTTTTTTGCATGCAATGAAGACATATATCGATGTTCAATGTGTTCCCCTCTCAGTCAAAGTTATATAGCATAGTCAAAGTTAAATTACCGGTCGACTTAAACCAATGGAAATCTATAAACAAACTGGTGAATTAACACGACGCACACAATGGACCGATCCTGTTCAATGCCTCCTTTTCTAGTACTACATACTCTAATCAACAAACCGAAATCTGATATAATTAATGTATCATTAACTTTCATTCGCGATCCTGAATTAAACAATTACGAGGTACAACTCTAACCAACCAGACGTGCAAACCAATCCGGTTCAATACCTCCCTAGCTAACCCCCCCTCCCTACCCTCTTTAATATATTTATATCGTGTTCCTCCTATCGTTGCTATATAACTAGTACCTCCCAATTCCCATTACTCAAAGTCATAGTATCCTTCTTCCTCTTTTCCTTCCTTAAATCCTTATAATTAGTTTATACCCAAATTCGACATGACATACTATCTAAGCTTGGTCGCTTACTATATCTACTTCAACTCCGCCAAAGTTGCCTACCTTGCCTCCTTGCTCGCCCTCTCCCTCTTTTACGTCGTCTTGGGAAGCGCCGGCAATCGCCATGCACCAGAGCCGCCGCCAATCCCCGCCGCCGGTTGGCCTTTTATCGACCAGCAACAGCTCAGAAATCTGGTCGCCCTTTACTTGCAACTCGACGACGGCTTCGGCCCATCGTCTCAACTCCACCACCACAACTCCAACCACACGTATTACGGCCGGCTGCCGTCCGCCGCCGGAGGGGTCGCCGGCTATTGATACTTAGTCTTTTTGTTGTTGTTGTTGTTGCTGTTGGGTGTTGCTCTCTCTTCTGCCTCTTCTTCTCCTGTGGTGAGCTTGTGGCTACAAATTTTCATGTAAAGAGTTGTGGTAGTTGTAGTTCTCTTCCCTTTAGTTGGAACGTTTTTATGACATAAATGTTCTTCCATCTATGTGTTCTCTATAGTTTTACTGAAACAATGGAGACTCTATTAATCAAAATGAGGTTTCTAAAAAACCAAACAAAGGCAAAAGTTGTAGGTTTCTATTTAAGAGCTTCCTAAGCCTCCCCGGCACATTTGATTCTTTATTATTGTCGAAATAATAATATTCATATCGCTAAATTATCTTCAAATCATCATAGAGTACACATATCTATGATTCACGTGTAAGAAACAAATTGAAAGTAATTTTATATGTAGATTTTCACAATTCGTAACAAAATCGTGTAACAAACTTTGAATCGGAACTCAACAACCAATAGCCGTAAATGCGAATTAAATAGGCTGAAAGAGAAATAGACCAAACAACAATAAATAAAAAAGAAACAAACCAAGGATTGTATAACCGTATTAGATAAGTCAGTGATGAGATATTATTATATATTTATATCGTGATTTAATTGTTCATGTCAAGATATATCAACTTGAATTTTGATAGAAATTGGTTTCAGTTGGACCGCCGAAGCTACGGTTTAGCCAACAAGATAATAAACTAAACTTTTTTTTTTCTCTAAAAGAAATGAGAAAAAAAATTAACTGAAGCCTGATCAAAATTTCAACGGGACAGTTGTTAGGTGAGCCTAACAAGTGGGCTTTGAACTAAAATCAGCAGTGACGTCCATCTGGCCTACCACTGCAAGAAAACATATGGACTCCAATCCAATGGGCCTTCCCCCATTAAATTCTCCTTTACCGAAAGAAGACCGTTGCGGGTTGAGCCAACCAAATGACGTGGCTCCACCGAGACGCTCCCTGTTTCTCTCTACCTTTTCTTAATTAATTAATTAATCTCCCAACCAATCAAAATAGAATAAACAATTTAAATTTCCCCCCAATTTGACCGTTGGGAAACAGATCTCAAAACCCGCCCAAAACGTTCAAAACCACCCACAGAAAGCGGAACCCTTCACTCTCTCTATCTCTCTTTCTGCCCTTCCAATCCCCACATAAATCCAATCTTTCCATGGCAGAAAACAGTGAAAACCTACCATCGTCGTCATCATCATCGATCATGGTTCCGAAGCCGCAGCACCCGCTCCACCAAATTGCGGAAACCCCGACCCACAAGCTCTTGCTGAAGCAGTGGCTGAAGGAGGAAGAACTGATCCTGAACAGAGTCTCTTTCAAGGAGTCCCAGATTGACTCTGTTCGCCGGGAAATCACGCAGCTATACGTCTTCTTCTTCCTTTTCCACTCCATTTCCTTGCTTCTCCTCTTCAACCACGCTTCTTCTGTTTCCTCTTCTTCCGCCTCGTGCAAGCGATCCTGGATCCCCTCGCTCTCTTCGCTGCTCTGCTCGATGGGGATCGTGTGGGCGGTTCGGTACAAGACGGATGTGGAATCCCACATGGAGAAGCTTCTGGAGAGGGAGAAGGAAGACGGGAAGCTGCTGGCGAAGTGCGTGGAGGAGTTGAAGAAGAAAGGTCTGGAATTTGATCTGTTGAAGGAAGTGGATGCTTTGAGGAGGGCGAAGAGCTTGAGGGTGGAATCAAAGGCCGTGAAGAAGTGGTCTGCGAGGGATTTTGCAACTATATTTTTCTTTGCCGTTTCGTGCCTAGTTCTCGGTTTAACTAGAGTAATATTGTGCAGCTAGATTATAATTGGCTTAAGGGATTTCTCCCCGATTTCTCTCCTGTTTTGGAGAATGCTCTGTTTTTCCTTTTGTTTTATTGGGATGATTTGTTTCATTTTTTGGGAAGGATGGTTCGAGGAATTTATGGGTAAAGGGGGGATGATTGGTTGCAGCGGAATGCTCTGTTCTGCGTATTATTTTGTGTAATGGCTTGGAAGGATCCTGTAATAAGATGATGAGCTAATCTTACATTAACAGCTTTCAAGTTGACAACACAGTCATTCATTCCATCATCAAATTGCTGCTTGTTTATGCCGCGTATCAATTACTAACAAATGAGAAAAACAAATCGTGGTATTATTCAAGCATACAATCTTCTAATTACAGCAAGGGATAAAATCCTCCCTTTAGCTTCAAATCGGACAATGAGATTACACATGTACAAGAATGCAACAAAGAGTTTCTGAATTGTGCAACTGAAGATCCTCAAACATTATGCCTCGTATGTGCTTGTGATCTGTGTATCAGTCTATCTATCGACCTTCTCCAATGAGCCCATGAAGCATGGGCTTCGAGGCATTGTGCGGAGAAACCTCTGAATCGGCCACCATGGATGTGCTCGTGGATGAAGTGTAATGGCTGGTATCTGTAGTACCTTTGGTAGCAATGTCGCTCATGAAGCTGCCAGTCGTATCGTCGTACCTCCAATCGGTCAAATATCCGGGCCTAGATGTAACTGTGCTCACTTCAATGTCGCCTGATAGCATTGCCACAACCCGGGACATCGATGGCCTCAGCGAAGGGGAAGCTTGCGTGCAGAGTAGAGCGATTCCTACGAAGCGTTTCAGTTCTTCTTCGTCGAACTCGGAGAGCCTGGAATCGGCCAGCTCTACTTCCCGGTTGTTTTCGTGTAGGTACCAGGCCTGAAAATAGGGATAAGTCAGACGAATAGCTCCAACAAAAACACTAGTAAAATCTATGGCTCTACAGATGAAAGAAACAAGACCAATAGCACACCAAATCTTAATGTAATAAGCTATACCCATTCAAGAAGATACATCTTTTCTTCATCCAAGGTTGGGTCTGAATTAGGCCTCCCGCTTACAACCTCCAGAGCTACCACTCCAAAGGCAAAGACATCAGCTTTCTCAGTAAGGTGTCCACGCATGGCGTATTCAGGAGCTAGATATCCTCTGCAATCAAACAATCATGGAACTTCAGTGACAGATAAACAAACATCGGATTATGAAGCAACGAACCGAAATTCTTTCAGGGTAATTTCGTACATTGTTCCGGCGACACGGGTGCTGATATGAGTCTTCTTATCATCATAGAGCTTAGCCAACCCAAAATCAGAGATCTTGGGGACCAGCTCGGAATCAAGCAAGATATTGCTGGCTTTCACGTCTCTATGCACGATTCTCAGCCTTGACTCTTCATGAAGATATGCTAGACCCCTCGCGACTCCCAAGCAGACCTCGTAACGTGTCAGCCAGTTGAGGTTCAGGCCTTTTTCACCTGCACCATACAAACCACTTACTTAAGTATGCAAGAGGGTTTGAGCACTAGATAGAGTAAAGTAGAAAGGGCTATGAGTTATGTGTTCGATACCAAAGAGTGCTTTGTCAAGACTTTTGTTCTCGAGATATTCATAGACGAGAAGCCTGTTTTCTCCCTCAATGCAGCATCCGTACAGCTTCACAAGGTTACGATGCTGTACAGCAGATATGGTGGCAATCTCTGTGATGAACTGGCTCTTTCCTTGGTGAGATTGAACTGACAACTGCTTCACTGCAATTACTCTACCATCATCAAGCTTTCCCTGTTGATTTATAAGAAATTAATCAATGGCAACATGTATTAATAGCTTATTTGCTTGTGATATACAATCGTGTACCATGTAAACGGGTCCAAATCCTCCTTCTCCAAGCTTGTTAGAAGGACTGAAGTCTTGAGTGGCCCCCCGCAGCTCGGCGTAACTGAAAGTGTATGGTCTGGTATCAATCCCTTGGAGCTCTGCAATTACAAACAGAAAAAAACAAACAAAATTCAAACACCTCCGCTACACCCTTTGAAGTAAAAAAAGTACCTAACTTGATGTGCATGGCTACTGGGTAGGTGGATATTTTCGGGGTTTGATTACCTTCATCTTCGAAGGCTCTTTGTCTTCTCTTTCTCCGAATAATAATGATCATTACAATAGCTAATATCGAGCATGGAACCAAGACACCTATGATAATCCCAACGATCATCCCTGTCTTGTTGTCATTTCCACCACTGTCTGTGCGTGGAGGATTGTCGCTAACAGTTGGTACGAAATCTGCATTTAGAATTTATAATTCATAATTTAGCAACCTGCTATATCCTTTGTTGCTTAAAGAACCAAGCTTTCGGCATATATTTACCTGGGAGAGCACTGATTGCTGAAATAGAAGGGCCATATACACCTTGTGCAGGAATGCAACAAGTACCTTTTCCAGCCCAGTACAAATGGATGTCCATGTAATTCTCCGAAACCCGGACAGTAAACTGTCTCTGAACAGCCCGGGTCGAGACTCCTCCTGCCTCACTTCTTATGTCGAAATCCCTCAAAACACGAGTCCCCTGGAAATGAAAAACAATACATTTGTTAGTATCAGAAAAACTCATAGCCAGCCATTTCCTTTAGTACATACAGAAGAAAAAGAGTCACCTGGATATAGACATCAAACATCCTTCTTCCGAGACTCCTCCAAGTGTTACCATTCTCAATGGCAGTCTCAGCAAACTGAAGTGTGACGCTGTAGTTGCCATTCTCAAGCCCCATGCCATAGTACCTCAGAGATGAAGCAGAGAGACGTGCCGTCTGAAACAGCTCCGAGTCTAGAGTGTTGGTGAACTGAGAGGACGAAAATGATGTGTACTGAGGATTGTTGTTTCCTGCAAACAAGCCAACGTTGCTGACTCCCCATCTGTTTGTTGGGGTCACGAAATATGTTGCTGGACCAAGAGTCTCATTGTCCCTTTCGAAGGTTAGCCGAGGACTGGCGGTTGTAATGGCTGGACCACCACACTTCACTGAAAATTGGGAATCTGTATGTCACAAACCGGAAAGTATTAGAATATACCTAATTTTGAAACAAGACGTTTCATTTTAATGGCACTTACATATTGGACTATTTCTGTTGCAGGGGAATCCTTGTTGAAGACAGTTAATCCCGGTAGGCAGGCCATTAGTGTTTGAAGGATCTATTGTGAAGTTGTTGAATACTATGTTCCTGCAAAGATATCATAAAGATGCCAACTTGAGAAGTAGATTCTCATATGCATTGTACTGTGTATTGAGTTGGTAATAAGGATCTGACGCCTGTCTAAACTAAACAACTTACAGCTGAAGATTTCTTCCATTTGTCCAAGAAGGCAAGGGCCCTCCTATGTTATTGTATGAAACATCGCTGCCACCAAAAATTACCAAAGCTCAATCAATACCGTGGGCAAAGGAAAAAATCAAGCTTAACATAAAATGTTGGATTGGAGGGCTCAAAAGTATCAGCTAACAAGGGACAGGTCAAAAGTTGGAAGCTTTCAAGTTAACGATGGCTCTAAGATGTTAGTGTAATCCTTGCCATTGGGCTTTGTTCAGGTTACTTACATATTGACAAGTGAAGCACTTTTCTGAGCAGGAAGAGTACCATTCAGGCTGTTATTCCCAAGAAACCTACGCATGAAAGCAGCAAACAAATTTCAATCTGAAAGTTCATGAAGAAGTAACAAGGTTCACGTAAAGAATTTAAAGTAATAGTTATTACAAGAAAGTGAGAGAGCTCATATTGAAAACTGCGGCTGGGATTGTTCCAGTGAGACGATTGAAGCTCAAGTCCCTACAAAATCGATCAATGGAAGCACATGGTAAGTAACTTTGTTTGTTCTTTCAGTAAGACTCTGGCTTTGCCAATGGGAGTAACTTACAGAAATCCCAAATTCGGATAGTCCCCCCATATGTCGGATGGAATTGTACCAGCTATACTACTGTCCCTCAGGACCCTGCAGGAGACATTATTACAGATCACTTCATTTGTTAAATAAGAGAACTGAAGAAAGACAGGAGTTGAGACGAGCAAAAGCTTACAAGGTGGATAGGGAAGTCAAGCCCCTAATGAATCCCAGAGAAGAGGTTCCGTTTGTAATACCACCTATCCGTCTGCGTTCGTGCAAAGATTAGATTGCTAGTGCCATTGGTGAACACAGAAACTAAGCTAGGTCGAGATAGGGAGGTATAGGCAAACTTACAACTCTGTCAAATTGGTTAAGTTGGAGAAGGATGATGGTATTGGACCGCTAAACGAGTTTCCTTCAAACCGTCTACAATCATGGCAAAATGAGTTCAAGACAAATTGAGTATTGGAGAAATGATGATGATGATGATGATAGTAATGAGGGTAACTCACAAAGTTGTTAGCCTTCTCCAAGTCCCTATGAAACTAGGAATAGGGCCTGTAAGAGCATTATCTGATCCCCACCTGACGAGAACAAAGAAATGATATGATACCATCAGCAAAACTGAGATGAAATGGAGAATTTGAAGAATTGTAAGAAAAGGAATCACCATCCACAGCAATGCACTTACACAGTCTCCATGTTGGTTAAATTAGCAAACGTCGAAGGAATTGGGCCGCTAACTCCAGCACTATCAAAATACCTTTGAATGTAGTAACAAGTAGTTTTAGTTCCATGGCCATCTCATAATCATTCATTCTCCATAACATCTCTATCAAAGAAGTAGCATGACTCACATTTGTTGAAGCCTTGACAAAGTCCCCAGCTCAGACGGCAAGGAACCTGTGAAGTTGTTTGACCCGAAACCACTATACCAGATAACCAAATCAGTAAGCAAATGATCAAGCATTGCTTGCAACTTAATCCATCACCAAAAGTGGGTCGAGTAAAAAGAAGCAGAAGAGCACAACTTACAATGATCTTAAATCAGTAAGCAATCCAATCTCCCTAGGCACAGGCCCGGTGAATTGATTAGTGGCCAAATTCCTAGAGAACATAAGCATTTCAGAGTTAGGAAAAGGAAAACTCTCTCTTCAAGTTAACTGACAACAAAGTGCATATCAACAAACTTACAGCCACTGCATACGCGTCAAATTGCCAATGGATGGAGACAAGGTTCCAGACAGGAAATTCAGACCCAAGTTCCTAATTTCATATCATCAAAACAAAACCAAACACCTCGTTCAGAAGAAGAAGAAAAATTGAGCCACCAACTGAACTGGGAAACAAAAAGATGAAGAATTGGATCATTTAAGGTGATGAGTGGTTGGAGAGCTTTACAGATTGGTTAGCAAGGTGAGACTCCAAAGCTCATCAGGGATTGGACCAGCAATATCCATAGACGATACTTTGCTGCAAATTGCGAACACAAACCAACATCAAAGATAATTACTTTATAGAGCAACCCCCCCAAAAAAAGATGGAACAAAGAGGTGGGTACAAACAGGGCGGTGATGCGGCAGACGGTGGAGGAATTGAAAGTGCAGTCGCATTTGATGAAAGGGTTGAAAGCTTGCTCGTCGATGGTGGGGCTTGCACCCAGCGCCGACCCACTGCAGAGCTCGCCGCTTATGTTCCATTGCCCCGGTTGCGCTTCGATTCCCCACCTCTCGAAAATGGCGTTCAATGCTCTTGCTGCATTACAATTGCAAAGCCCCAAACGAATGAGAAGGAAATTCCTTTCCCTAGCAAAGATGTCAATAGACTCCATTATAGTTCAGTTCCCGCGGAAAACCAACTACACGAATGGCCACTCAAACTAACAATCGTTAGGGCCCATTACGAATAGCCCACAAAGACAATGGCCCAATCGCTCAGGAGACCGAGACTTCAACGGCAACGAGAAAGCGACGAGCCGCCACGTGTCCATGACTCAGCTATTGTATTTAATTTAATATATCGACCACCGTCTCTCCGACCAAGGGAGCAGCCGCCAGGCTGCCACAAACAATAATCGCCCACTTGCTGCCATCTCCACTTTTTCATAATTACGAACGAAACCGATTTTACAGATCTCAGATGACCGGTGAAAGCTTGATCGGAAGATTGAGAACCAATTTCTAAATATATAGCGGCAGAGCAGAAAACAGGGGAGGGGAATTATAATTGCAGAGAAGGGGAAGAAAGAAGGGCGCCTACCTTCGTCGGGATCAGTGGTAGCACGAGTCCGATTCTGGGCAAGTGCTACTTGGACGACACCGGCGATGGAAACAGCATAAAGAACGGCGACGATTAGTGCAGCAGCTGAATACGGAGACGCAATCGACATGGAGTATTTTTCCCGGCGACGGCTCAGAGATAATTAGATGGCAGAGTGAGAGGAGGAAACAGGGGGGATTCAATGTTAGCCAAAACTGAAGGATGGCTGTTTTGACTTGTTATATTCAACTGTGATAGGGAAACAGAGATATTGTTATATAAGGTAATAAAAAACTAATGCTAGTGCTTTGAAAAGTCGTGACTACACTACAGTGTCAACTTGGGGAAGGTTCAGAAATAAAATAGCTCGGACGAGATGGCTGAAAGGTGAAAGCATTGGTCCAATGGCGCTTAATTATATTATTATTATTATCATCATCATCTTGTAATGGTGGGTTAATTATAAAACACGCTCCCGGAGCCCAATTGATTCCCCCAAGTCCAACTTGAATCAATCTCGTCGGCTGACCAGGAGCCATCAGCATGGTTTCATTAGGTTAGAAAATTCAACGTCCTCGTAAGCGGATCGGGGCCCATTAATTAATTGCATGCGTACACCTGCCATGATGCCTGCGTCATTGTCGCACAATGCGACGCTCTGTTCTTCTCTGTGGAAATTGGTTTGTGGTTGAAAATTGATTAAGAAGACTTGACTTTGCTTGAGGAGGAGGAGGGTGTACGGAGAACAAAACTTTGGTCCCTCGTTATCTTGATTCAGGCAAGGTAGGAAGGGCCCCAGAAAAGGACACGTGGGGTTTGACTCTTCCATTCTTTTGGTACATTGGGAAGGTTGAATGTATCCCCTTGCTATAAAGTAAGTAATTAATGTCCGCCGAATTCATTGATCCATCGTCATTCGTGTCTAGCTAGTAGCAACCTCCGGGCTTGAACTTGAAGGGTCGATTCTGTTCTGCGGCAAGCATTTGTAGTATTGAATTGAATTGACTAAGTTAATCACCAAAGTATGTTAGCGAACTAACCATTTGGTTACAATTGTTAGAGAGTGGGATAAGATCCAGCATAACATTCTCCCAACAACTCGAGTTATTGGGACCAACTGGTTTATGACATGGTATCAGAGCCTAGAACCGAAAGGTCTTCACGACCCCAATATTAACCGTTGTCTGTCAAACACATGATATGATGGGCTTGTGCAAACTACAAGGCCATAGATTGGCTTTCGTTTGAGGGGGAAATGGATAGTTAACTTGTTCCCCTGTGTCTGCCATTTGCTGGGTTTTCTTCTCTAAAAACAGAGGCTCTGTAAATCATAACTGGTTCCTTCCTCTAATCCATTAATTGACAAGCAAGCTAGGATCTAGCTACTGTAAGCAACGGAGAAGATGTACATCCAGGAGCATCAACTACCAGGCAGGCAGGTACCATCTTTCTTTCTTTACCTGGAGGATTGTAGGGATCAAAACAGAAGGGTGAGGTGATCCTCTGTTTTTGCCTCTGTTCTTGCAAAATATAACTGTTTGCAACGATATATCAATTCAGGTCAATTATGGTATGAAGCCCTTAATAACTCGATCGATCCAGGCCCATCTCCAACGTTGCCCAATTGTAGAAAATTGGGCCTCCTTTTCTAGTCAAATACCTGGCTGGAACCCAGCCCAAATAAAATAACACTGTGGATAACATCTAACACGCATATATCCTTTATTCTTCTTATCTTTGCTTGGGCCATCCAGCTTAATGAACCTCTGGGCTTACAAACAGATCCAATAATAAAAATCTTGGCGATTGGGCTCCAAAGTCCCCGATCCATAAGAGTGCAAAATTGGTTGCGATTCGGCCCATCAAAGTTCTTTACCTTTGCGGTTGTGGAGTTATTGTTTTCCTTGAAAAGACTCCATTTGTTTTGTGCCCATATATATTTGCTCTAGTTTACTACTGTTGGACAATAATTTTCCATAACAAGATGAAGAGATAAAAAGGTATGCTGCTTCCATATGCACTGGAAAGCAAAGATAAGAAAGGAGGGGAGATTGATTAGTTATATCTACTAAACAAAACGGAAAGGCAAGCACGGCCGACGAGGAGATATAAAGTGTTGGAACAAAAGGAAGACGATGGTGGCGTGGTGGCGATGATGATAACGATAATTAGAATAATGAAAGAATACTCCTTCAAGTAATTGGCTTTACCTTTCCACTTCATTATAGCCAGCATATAACAAACACACAACTAGTAGTCTACAAGATAATCAAAAGTCGCCAATTTCTGCTCGAGGGTTGCCCCATTGTTGACTCTCTCTCTCTCCCTCTCTCTGTGTGTAAAGTGGAGAAGTCGACTTAGAATCTGAATACCACACACAGACAACGGTATAGCAATTAGCAAGTGGGCCGCCTTTCCATTTCATGCACGGCGGGCAGGTAGGTTCCAAGCCAGTGGGGTCGCCGGAAGCAGAGAAGCCCAATTTGGCCGGCTGGATAGTAAAGGATCGATATCTATTAAAAAAAAAGGCAAAGCGTGGGCCTTGGCATGCTTTGTAGTTTGTACTTAGTACGGAGAGTTTGGACGCATACCTCATTGTTTCCACCAAAAATTCCACTCTGACTCATCCATCAGAGTATAAAATATATATATGCCGGTCACATCGTGACGTTTACACAGAGACCAAATACAATAATTCAACTATATATTATCGATCAGTTTATAATAAATATTGTCAAGTTGCTTGCCCTGCCTATTACTATTAGTGAGACCATTCATCGATACTCATGTCTTTGGAGTGAGGAAGCCGACATGGAGATCACCTACTCAAAAATAAAAGGAATGTTCCGATTTGTATCAATTATTCTCCTCAATGGTGTCTTGAGGTGGTAAGAACTTCCGAGTTTGAGGTGGTGAAAATTTGTAATAAAACGATGTTCATATTTTGTATCCAACCTGTTGTTATACTATCCTATCCCCCTCCCCTCCCCTCCCCCACACGTTGTGATTGTACTTATAAATTAAGAATCTCGAAGTTCGATGTAGCGATTTGTCTCTTTCCTGCTTCTTTGATTCTTGCTCGTGCTTTATAACCGACCGCGCGTATATCGCTTTCTACAACAACCAAATAAAGCCTCTCACAATCAAAGGACTAGTCACTACTAACAAGGAAAGAAGCAATTAATGGTAATAAAAGAAACTCACTTACGAGGCAAGAACGTCCGAATATCACCCTCTACAAAAACTCAAACTTCCCAAAATGCTACGTACACGTTTACAGCAAATTAATACATCAAGCAATAGCACTCTCCCATCCCATCCCATCCCATGTGGTAATTTAGTAGCGGCGGAGACCACCGTACCCAAAAACGGGTCCAAATCTTAAAATCACATAATTAAGCCTGACCGACCGACGCTATCAGCTTAGCTAAGCGGAAGGAAAGAGACAGCAAATCGTGGAAATCACCGTCGTCATAAATGTCCCTAGCTAAGCTAGTTAAAAATTAAAACCGCACACAACCGCCCCCTGTCCTCTCTAATTACATCTTTTTCTTTCCGCATGGCGCCAGCCATTGTTATTAGAGAGCACGGTACCGTAGCGTACGGTTGACCCGTACGTACGGCATGCAGTACCCATAGCTCTCGCCATTAATGTAATGATCCCCACCTCACCCACTGCAGTCCATCTAGAGCACCACCCAGCTATTAACAATTCCCTTACAGAAAAGAAAAGAAAAGAAAAGAAAAGAAAAGAAAAGAAAAGCCCGGTTGGATCTAGCTAGCTAGCTAGCCACTGGTCCAGTTCTTCTCTCACATTAACTACGGTCCGACCCCACTGGCTGCTTGATGATGGGGTTGGGGCTGACATGGACTTGACGACCGGCCCGACCCAGACGGCCCATTGGAAGAACAGCAAGAGAGGTGGAGTACTGCAGAATGAACGGCCGTCGGGCGTTAGTACGTATCAAGTGGGCCACGGCGGCGGGTCAGGACTCAGGAGGGTTTGAGATCGACGAGAGGAAGCTAAGGAAGTTGCTGTGCTGCTGCTTCCTATGGTTCTTTGTACGTTGTAAGTTTGTAACTTAATTAATTAATTGTGCCTCGTTCCTAACTAACTACCGATCGAGCTAGTAGCTAGCATTAGCAAGGTGGATCGAGGGGCCACGGCCCACGCGCAAGCTAACTGTGTGTCTTTGGTTGGGTAGCCAACTACTATTCAATCGGTCTCATTCTTCCTATTTTGTGAGCATATAGCTTTTTTTTTTTTTTTAACAAAGGGTACTATCATGTCATTACAAAGGCAAAGGCCAAATGTTACAGGAAAGGAAAATAATTAACATCTAAGAATTTGAAGTCATTTCAAAGGAAGCTGGTTACGGGCTCGTGATCTTGTAAAACAACACAAGTATTGGAATTCTTTCTTGTCTTTTGTTGCGACTTGTGAGTTGTTTTATGTTCATCTTTGTTCATTGTACAAAATCCTGTTATGTCGCGTGTTTTGTTTATTATTTCTCCATTATATATTTCCTAACAATAAAATTACAAATGAAAAGAAAAATAACGCATACTCTTATTATTCGCTTTTTCTTGTAAGAAGAAATTATCCCTTACCTAGAGCAAATCTTGACACTGATGAACATCTAACAAGTTTAAAAGGGTCGGACGGATATCACACCTTATTGGTGGCCAACACAAGAACAATGCACAAGCGACATCTACTAAGACCCAATCACAAGAACTACCTGAATCTAAACCTATATATTTATTTCACATACACGCATTACATGAATAGCCTAAAGACTAAGGAAACAAAAAAAAAAAAAAAAAAATCATTTCACAAAACTTATCGATATACCTTTAAACATGTTGAACTTAGAACTCACATCAAATTACCTAACATGCATTGCATTCATTTCATGCACCTAGAACAACTCTTTCATGAGTTTCATCCAATTAATTCTTCCCATCGACGTGACATTTTCCTCATCGATCGCTAGTAAATATCTCACCAAACCCATTTCGTTCAACTTCAAATTGGATAAAACCACAACCAAACAACCACCTAAACATTTTTTTTTATATATATATAGAAACAACCACCTAATTAACTTGCAATCCGGTGCCCAATTTCCGTCTCTAGCTATTTGCCCTCTGTTTCTAGCCCCTTGTGTAATTTCCTTATTGATGTGCGTTCGTACCCGTCCATCACATAGCATGCCGAGCCCATTTACGTGCAAAAATTTCACCGCTACGTTCGTTCTAGTCACCCATTCTTTTGTCAAAGTAATGCACCTAGCTACTCTCTCCTCTCCCCTTATTACAGAGAGAGACGCCCTATTCCGCCCGCAAACCCCTTTTTCTATGTGTCTTCGTCTCTGATAAGAGTCGCTACCATTTACTGTTTTGAATCCAACTACTCTACCATGCACGTACGTACAAAACAGAGGTTTCAAAAGGACGTTCTTCTATCCATACGTACTTTAGAAAGTTCTACTGTCTGCCCACGTTGTTAATTTGTTTTTCCTACCCAACCTCACCTACCATACTAACTAGTTACTAGTCTCTATTACTACTACTTACTGCATGCAGTGTTTAAATATTGTCCAACCCCTACCGATCGATGAGTCATATATTTGAGTAATAAATGTTCAACAAGCTAGAGATATTTATTTGAACCCTCTTAACGTAGTAGCTAGGGAATGGTAGATATATGGGGCAAAGTTTTATAAGTACTCTTATTTCCCATTTTTTTTATATGTATTTTAACTATAACTATTTGCAAATTGAGTAAGAGGTCACAAGTCACTACCCCATCTCACTTGTGTAATCGCTTCTTCAAATTTACGAATCAAGTCAAGTCAAGTGCTTGTACAATGATCATCCGTAATGTATACGGTTCAACTTGAAATACTCCAAAGGGCAGACATATATATTACATATAGTACAAGTGCGCATATATCCGTAGCTAAGCTCAATCAACCTTTTGATATCAGCCGTTACGTACGTTGGTTTCTTAATTGTATCATGGTATGGGACACTTGGCTAGCTGGTGCCTCGTTGGTACTATAGCTTTACAGCAAAACCAAAAGGTACGTACGTACGTAGTGAACTAGCTAGTTGTTGTTGCAGTCGCTTGCTGACTTGCTTGCTAGCTTTTGTAATAGCGTATGGGTCATGACATGGCGCCCAGCCCATCTTGCCGTTTAAAGCCAACAGCTTTTATTCCCCATTGCGAAAAACAGCTGTGGGACGACATCCGCTGACTCATATTAATTCCCTACTCACCACTCACTGTCTATACCCATTACCCAACCTTTTTTTTCTAATATACACTAATTTTTATTATTATTATTATTAATATCCAAAAATGACGTGTTAGCTTTTTCCCCCTTGGTTTCGGGGTACGGAGAGCTTGGCCTGTCGTTTGATTCTCTTTTGAGGTCACTCACCCGTCAGCACGCTCTGTCCATTCCATAACAACAACCTCTGTCTGCGTGGAGTGGATGGCCATTGATTAAGAAATCAAAGCGCTTAGGGGTTGATATGTCAATACCATCAAAGTTGAGTGACCATTAATCCTGTCATTTACCCAATATTTATGTAGATACTTACTTTTTATTGTTATTATATATATGGTTCATGGTTGGTCTTAGTTGGCTATCTAGCTAGCTAGCTAGGGTTCTCTTTTTCTCCTTTGAAATTAAGAGTAAAAGGGAAGGATAAACACATGCACACTAGCTTATATATATATATATATAGTTGAAAAGAAGTACATATAAGTTTAGGGTGAGTGCTTAATTAGGGGAATCTGATCGATCTACAATGGATTAGAGGTGCATGACGGATACACAAAACAAAGGATTTGAGTCATACCAAATTATACTTTTCGCTTTATGATGTTTTCCCCATGGGTTAAAAAATGCCAACAAATTTTGTCTCAAATTAAACAACTACGTACTGCTCTTTTTTTATAGATGCTTCGGCTTCCACAAGGAAATTTGGGGAGAGGAACGAGGTTGAGCCTTATGAGTTCAATTTGCAGAGTATTGATTAGTTCAATAATTAATTGGGGCATGGACGAAGTAGATTACATAATATTGTATGTGTGCATTAGGTAAAGGGTCCAAAGACTGGATTAACATGATGACAATAAATACATAAAAACAATATATAGAGTCCAAGAAAATTGTCACTTCAATTTGGTTTGCTGATATTTCTTTATTTCCGAGTTCACACCGCCCACTACTCCATTGATTGATTGTCTTGTTTGCTTATAAACACAAACAATCTTTGTCCAGTTAAATTTTTATTTTGTTGGTTCTTTATTTTGAACATCATCATCATATGAAAGACTACAACTCACTCTCTTTTGTCACCATAATCCTTCCAAAAAGAAACATAGCCTGCCCGTACGGGAATCATATATTTTTTTCCAAATATAAATTACTACTTATATATATATCAAATTCACAATTATGTAACTCATAGAAACAAAGAAGAATAATAATAGAGGAGACATGTGACGTCGTGTAAAACCACAATACAAGTTTCCAATTTCTTACTTGTAAGGTATGTTCTAGAACAAAATACTCCAATAATAAATAGCCCTTGGTCAATAATTTCCTCTTTGTGCGTTCACATGTATAAATATATAACTGGACCGTTTATTTCGAAGAACGATCCATGAGGGTTAAAGCTCAGAGAATGCGTAAGAGTCAAATTCATATCATGATTAGTTGATATAATATCTAATGTCTGTAAGACGTCTTATATCATAAAAAACAGTTTACAGTTCTTTAACAAACTCGTAGTAGTCAATAATTTTGTGTGTGGGTACCAATGTAGAATATGATATCATTTTCTTATGTGAACCTGATGAGAAAGATAATTACTCAACCATGCAATCAGTATCGATGTATCCATCCATTGGGGTTAAAAAATTATCAGAGGAAAAGTTCAAAAGATATTATTCGACTTCAAATTGTTAGCAGTTCGTCATAAATAGAAATCAACTATACTGAGATTCTCACTACTGAATACTCTCTACACGTTTATGAAAAATTGACATACCCACATGTTTACAATGCCATGAGAACCACATAGTGATTTCCCAAAGACATATGTTGCAACCGATTCTTTGGCTTATGGACTTATTTTAGATCACTTTGAACCGAACCGTAACTAAAGGCCAATTGATAATCAAAACTAACATGACCAATACCCACGGGATGGAGGGGTCGGTTTGTCATTCGCTTTCTAATTACGGTTGTTTAGTTTATGTTATCGCCGATCGAGTCGTACGTCATCATCGCCGTCGGTTTCCCAGCAATTTCTTCTTTCTTTCTTTTTCCCCCACCCTGTTTTGTCGTGTTTAACGTTTTATTTGCTTGCGTTTTTGGCTTGGCTTTCTAGTTTATAACGCCTTTATGCTTCTTGTTCATGGAATAAAAGCTTTTAGGAGCCAAGAAAGAAAGAAAGAAAGAACAATGACAGGGAGTAGAAGTTAGTAACCATTAAAGTATTGGTAGGTGGGGGACTACTACTCATCTGTCGTTCTGTACGATTGACTGTACGGCACCGTCGTCGTCGTCATTATGTGTGTTGGAAGAAGAAGATCGAGGATCGATTTGACGTTTGCCAGCTCTCTCTCCCTTCTCCCAAAGCTTAGCTGACTCATTAAAATTCCCTACGTACGTTACGTCCTCCACCAAAAACAACTTTTCTTTCCACTTGGTAATTGGTATAGAAGAATAATCGATGAGTCGGAATAGTTGTGGCGATGTTGGAAGGCGGAGATAAAAGATTGATCCTAGACTTCTTAGGAGAGATTGATATTTTTATTTGTTGGTGAATCCTGATTTTGTTGTAAAGATTGCATATGTATGCACACACTTTTACTAGAGCAAAGAAGTAAGAAATTTATTTTTCATCAAATATTATGTAATCTACTTCTGTTATGTCACACGGCTATTCTACAGTTTGGACTAGATACTACATCATTCATACCCATTACAATATCCGGACATAAGTTTCGAATAAGTTCATTTCTGCACAAACTTCCCACAAACTCTTTTGGAATCGTAACCATCACCACTCTATCTAGTTGTCCGCTCTGATAACCTCCACCGGTGGAAGCCAATGGCGCAGGGAGAATCAGAACCTGCCATTTCTCGCCAACCGGTTCGACATAGGTTGAAACCCTGATCGGCGCCAACCCATCCTCGAACCTAGCAGAGTATGGGTCTACTCCATCCAACCCAATACAAACCATCTCACAATTGCCATGATTGATGGGGGAAGGGGACTCCTTTTGATCTGCATCATCATTATAAAGGTCTTTGCATCTTAGCCACTCGATCAAGCCCATTACCGAGTTTGAGTTTGTTATCTCCCCTGCAGCTTCTCTTATAGACGCGACCACACTAGGCAATGATGATATCGAGGGAGGTTCATGACTTGAACATTGAACTCGATTGTGTACCATGCAATTACCAAAAAATCCACTATCCAATCCCAATGCCTTTCTAGCATCCAAGCATATGGACATGTCCACTAACCCATCGCCCTCCTTCTTCACTTCACTCAGACACAACCAAAAGAGACCTGATAACACCTCGAATGGTGATGCTTGCATCTGGGTCGACCCTGTCTGAGCCATGGCCATGCAGGATTGCACCATGGAGCTCGTGAATGAAAAGGAAAGAGTGGCCACGTGGCTTGTCAGCTCGACATTTTGATCAACGGTCGCAACAGAGTTATTAATTATGGTAGCCTTGTAGTGTTCAATCAAGTCATTGGTTTTACTAATGTGAGGGAGGCGGCTAGGGTTGTGAATGAGCTTTGGGATAGGCAAAGGGTGAAAAAATGGTGGATGTTGCATTTTCCCTAGGAAAGCTATGTCAGCCCATGCCTTGATGAACATAGTTGCACAAACCGGATCGGCCAAGAGGTGATAGCAACTCAACCCTATTGCCACACCTCCACCTTCAAACTCTGTTAGCTGAAAGCCAAAAACAAGAACAAGTTATGTAGTAGCTAGGGTTCAATTTCAAAGTTTTAACCCAAAATTCGAACGAAAATCTATATGGATTTGTTTAGAGCAAGAACAAACTCTCTCTTTTTTTTTTTTTTTACCTGAACGTAGAAAGTGGACCAAAAGTAAGGTTTATGGAACATCTCCTCCCAATGGACAAGCTTCATCTCCCTTTCTCTATCAACATTACTGAGCCATTCATCCACACTCCCTTGTGCTCGAGCCTCCACCATTCTCACCCCTGCATCGTTGCACTTTATCATCCAAGTCCTCCCGTCTTCCTCCTTCACCAGCCTCCCCGTTATGATAGGAAAAAACGTGAGTGTCTCGGATATCGACTCCCTCAACATTTTGGTGATCTCGCCCGGCTTGTAGTACTTGTTAGGAGTAGTAGTGTCCTTCAGATAGTACACCATCTTCAGGTGGTTTTCTCCCATGACCCGGTCCAGGACGGAAAGTGAGTGGCGCTTCCTTGGTTGGACCGGTTTCGTGCTCACCACGGTTCGCTTGCATATGTAAGTGACCATTGGGTTGCTAGCCATTGGCTTTGTTTAAATTGTGACACAATTTATGTGGTTAATGCTTGTTGTTTTTGTGTGTGTATTTTGGGGTTTGGAGCATCATTATATACATGAGGAAAACATTGAGTTGGGTGAATATTTTTCCATTAGTAGGTTGAAGAATCAGGGAAATGTGGTTTTCGTGATGGGATGAGTTCATGAGATTTGTGAGGGTGCCTTGCTTTAAGGTACTGGTAATGCCATTCCAGAGAAATTGGAGGACTCTCCAACTAACATTAATCATGTGATGATTAATTTATTTTTTCCTCTAGTATTTGTTGTTTGATTGAAAGAAAAAAACTGTTTTTATAGCCAATTTAACAAACAAACCTATATATTTGCTACATCGTTCACCGATCCTGAATATTGGTATAAGAAATTTTGTTCAAATATGTTGCTAGTTAGGTCGACTCGTGTTTAGTGATTAAGCACATCTATAGATAAGTCAGATGACATCAAAAGATGCCGATGTTAAAAGTTTAAGAATGGCATATTTCATAAATTTGTTGAGTATATATCATTTTCTATATATACACATTCACTTGATGATTTCTCTTAAAAATTGGAACTCGCTAGATGAGAGTTGGCTCCAAAATGGCTATTATTAATGCTTGTTTCTCTTATTCTGTTTCATGACCACCGTCAAGCATGGAGTTGTGGCAGAAAACAAAAAGAAGAACAGCCTGTCGAATGGTATTAATTATGGAAACAAGATAATTTTTTTAGGGAGCGAAAATAGTAATCATCTTTTTTTCATGTACCACCTAACCAACTGCCTCTCCTTTTATGTCTTTATTAATACCAGAATACAAAGGGGGAAACAGAAACTAAACATCATTGGGGAGATCAGTTATTGATTTATTATCTCTTCGTCATCATCATATCTTTTCTTTCCAAGTAAAGCACAACCGGATCACCGGCCTGCCATAAGAAAGCAAAACTTGCCTCTACATTATTGTCATGGCAGTTTAGGAAGGTTGGTCTTCGATAGGGATAGATGCATAAAATTTATAAATATATAATGTTGAGTTATCGGATCTAATATGTTGATTTTGATTAGTTTGAATTTATACGTACGGTCGATACATTATCTAACTGTGATCAAGTTAAGCAAACACAGTATGAGAGTCGGCTCTTAGATTTTACTATTTATCGTGTCAATTAGATCCAACTTCGAATAAATCGGCGTACTGCATTTCCGCTGACTCCCTGAACTGTTGACAAATGTTGCTAGCTCTGATCAAACAAACATATATAATCTGTTAATGTGGATGTACATAATTGTTTACCCTTACTAAGTACTATGCAGTACCGACATATGAGTTAATCCTTTTGATTAAATCGAGTTCTTGATATCCAATCGGTTTGATTTTATCGTGATTACCATTAATTTGGTTTTGAGTATGGCTAGTCATGATTATCAAATTCTATTGACTTCCAAGCTTATCTTATAATTTCGAGTAGAACCAGCTAAGCTAGCTAGTGTGAAAACTGGGATTCTGAGAATGTGTACATACATCCCTGCTTTCAGTCATGTGCTGACTTAATTTCCAGCATAGAAATATTATTATTTTTCTCAGCTCAATGCTTAAATAATAAACCAGCTTGCTTGCTTGTCATACATATATATGACGAATCAATGTTCGACACATAAGGTAAGAATGTCACTGTAATTATAAATGTCGGTTGTGAATTTCTGAAGGCCAAGTTGTTTGAGCTCGTCATTAAGTCCGGCCAACCTTCAATTTGAACTCGCATTCATATTCCAGTGGCTCATAAAGAGACGCTCTACATTTTGCAGTTGGTTATTTGTATTGTCTGTCCCTTCCGAAATTTTATGACATGCGACATTACCAATTCAATTTCTTGTACCATTTAAACTTTATCGAATCTTTTGTTTTAAGCATAGGTTCGAGATGAAATGATCTATCTATAAATTTCGCCAATTCAACCTATTGATTTTATGTATATAACCTTAAAAACAAACGAATTGAAGACTTTGTAGAGGATCATTCATAACATATCTAATCTAATATGTAAAATTAATATTGATCAACATTCTCTACCTGATAACATTACCTACTATGTGTTTGTAAAGCAACTTGCAACATTGCATAATGCTATAATTGATCCTATAGGGTTGTACCTAGAACTGCAAATGAGCCGGTTCGAACCGAGTTTTAGCTCAACTTGAGCTCCACTTGTTAATATACGAGCTGAGTTCGAGTTTGACTTGTTTATTAATGACGTCGAGCCGAGTCGAGATCGAGTTAGGCTTGTTTACTAAAATCTAGGATCGTATTTGATACAATCATTTTACTAGTTCAAATCATGTTACACAGTTTTTATTAATAAAAAATAAGACATTTTTTTCTTACATGTCCAACATGTTAGGTTCATATAGGGTGAGATATATAATTTAACAATCCTATGAATGATCAAAATCAAACCCCATATATATAAATCGATTCACTTAATTATAAGTCAGTGATCAAGTTGGCTCTCTAGCCACAATGTTGAGACATCTCATGAGCTCTAAACGAGTCAGGTCACGAGTTGAGCTCCACAAGCAACCAAGTCGAACTAGCTCGCTAGCTAAAGAAAGTTTAGCTCAGCCTCTGCTCATTAGTATACGAGCAATGCTACTGTGGGTAGGGGCGGGTCGACCCACTCTTACATGTTATTTGAAAAAAATACACGCAAATTTTACATTTTACGATAAAAAGAAGGGGAAAACACTATATAACTGAATAATAGTGATAATAGAATGGGTAATTCAGTCTAACAAGTTGAAAGATTGACTCTAACTAGTTGAAGAAATGTCAAAATAGGATAAATATGTATAAATATAGTAAGAAATTGAGATATAATGGTCCAAGAACGGGATGAGGCGAGTTGGAAGTAGATACACATGCCCCTCCCCACTTACGCTACTGCGGGTCGGGTAATACCGGCTCCATCGCGGATCATGTCAGATAATACCCGTGGGACAGGTTCAAATTGCCATCACTACTAGCGATATACTCCATGGATAGATAAAATATACAATACATGATGCAAGTTATCGTTATCTCTAAATATCTCACTGTCTTATTCAATGCTTGTCCAACCTTAGAAGAAGGTTTCATCAAGGTGTTGTCGTCCTGTCGTGATTGCTTCTATGCAAAGGAAACAAAGCAAAACTCGCCCAAGTGCCATATGTATGCATTAGAAAAGGCTTATGACGAAGTCAGTTTGCAACTCTCTTATGTACGTATATATGAACCGAGAATAATGTGAACTTTTACGTTAATTCATTAGTTGTAAGTCCAAAATATCTCAAGTATATGTGTTTGTACTTTGTAGTACTTACGTACTCTCCGTATACAATTACATATAATATCCATCCATCATTACGTCCTCCTGACCACATTGCGATTTGCGAAGAAGATTTTGATTTTATAGCTATTTTATTAAATGATTATGACATAATTAAATGGACTATATATATATGTAACTATGCATTTTTCAGACACTTCTGTATGTATACATCGAACCCCATATTCCACATGAAACACGAACGAACCAAACTTTGGATGAAAGAAACATGCTTGTGTATATACATATGGATAATATTTCTGGTTGTGTTCTTTTTATTTCTATCGTGGAAAGCTAGCTAGATGGCTCTTTGATTGGATTATACCTATTTTCTTATCAATCAAAACATGTTTTCGTGATTTCTTTCTTTGTTTTAACAGAGATTAATAGAACCGATTAATGACAATAACTCGAGTTGTTAGGAGAACTTCAATTATGGATCATATATTATTTATTAACACATTCTTTCAAACAAAAGTCGTTCATATATAGGCTTGAAATTTGCACAGATTTGGTACTATGTGCTTAACATAATAGATGAGTCGCCAAAATTAGAACAGAAGACCTCTTGATCGCAGAAGCATCTTATATCATGTCAAAAATCAATTGATCTAAATATTTTGAATTATATGAAAAGGTTCAATTATAAATCATATAACATTTACTAACAATAGTATAGCATCATGACATTCTAGTTAGATTATCGTTATATAATCGAACAGATAATAAAAAAAATCAAGAAAGTGAATAAGTACATATACTTACGAGGAATTCTAAATGAAAAGACAAAAAGGGTTCGAATGTAAAAATCAGAAGGGCAAAACCCATTCACTATTGGAGTTCGATTACAACTTTTACTAATCATCTAAATTTACAATTTAATAGAATACGATGACTGTATTGGTAATAATCCAAAGGTTCAGAGACAAATTCTGCAATTAACCAACAGAAAAGTGGAGATGACGGAGTTAGGGCGGAGGAGATCAATGCCCGCCACCATGCCGGAGTGGCGCGTTAATAACAGCGCGCCAAAAAGGTGACACGTGGAGTGGGGTCATGACTCATGAGGGGAAAATGAGAAAACAAAAAAAGAAAAAATGTCTAAAGAAGAGGGACCAAGTAACGGAAATTGAGAATCATCATCAGACAGTCACGGAATAGTACTGGCCGGACATACGGAACAAAAGGAGAAGAAAATTACCCCTCCCCGCTAATTTCGCTCTTTTCTTTCTCCTCCTCACATCACTTCACTTTCCCCCTTACTCATTCAGGAGTTGTGAAGTCTCAAGGAAATCGTAGAATTATAAACCAATGATATTACAATCACACAATAAGATTGGATCGAACGATATGTTATACATCATTGTTTCATAGATAAGTATTTTAGAATTTTGTTGACCACAAGTAATCAGCAACGTGACCACATTCTTTATAAATATTAGAGATCTTTCTCGTCAACGGTTACGAATCAACCAACATTAGTGAATAAATGAGTAGTGTTTCTTGATCACCACAAATCCGTTCGAGTATAAAGCAATAATCATTAACGAATCTACAACTGCACAATTAAATGATAAATTGATTGCAGTGTCATCTAAAAGCCAAAACTTACTCCATGATTAGGTTTCCAATGAAGCAACATTGCACCATTCAATTTAAAAGCTTTCTTTCACAAGATTAGATTGAAATAAC